TATACATCATTCATCCTTATCTCCTTCAAAATAGGTACCGCACTTCCTTATCCGCATACTTTTCTTAGCAGTTTCCAGTTTCTGGATAGCTTCATTTGAAATGGCCTTTAAGTCTGTGACGAATTTCTGAATAGTCTGAAAACAACGTCTTTCTTTTTGCTAAAGGTAAAAAATTATAATAATTTGTGTATAATGTGTAGAAAATTTCTATTATATGTTCCTTTGACTAACATTTTAATTATTTATGTCCTCAAACAATTTTATTATATTGATGGTAAATTTGGTTTTGTTCCGTTTCAAAAGGTCTCCAAAATGCCATGTTGTAATAATATTAGTAAACCAAATATCCCTCTTATTTCTCCCTTCTAATCACACCAAATTCCGCATTGTTGCACTGCACTGCCAGGCGACTTGTCGACAACTGAAATTTATGACACAGTCGACCAGAGCAACAGTGCGTAACACCGTTTGTCCGCACGCCCAGTCTTTACAGATTCTACAGATTCTAAAATAATGTTCCTTAAAGGATGATGTACTTAGGAACATTACTTTAGAAAGTAATAATCACAGTTTATTGTTAATGTTATTGTTATGAACACATTATTATTAATGGTACAACGTCACCAAACTATGCTGTTTACTAGATTTTAAGTCAATTAGGCATGCTTTTGAGAAAACAAGGTCGTAAAAAATAACTACCAATAAAGGAAATAATGTTGAATGCTAGTATGTACCTGATTCTCCTTCTCGAAAATTTCAATCAGCCTGAAAATAAAAAAGGAACGTTTTCTACAGGTTTTGGTTAACATATTCGAAGAACTTTTTCTGGGTCAATGAATTTTCGGATGTAAAGTGTATTATATAACACAGCAACTTGCCATTTTAGTAATTAAAATAGGTAGTGTGATGTTCTTCCAATGATATAACCGTTAACTATGAAAAATTGGTGTCAAACTTTCTTAAAATGCTGTTTACCATATCTTTAATATTTGATCGTCAATAGGTATCTATATTATGTAAACCTATTATTCTCCTCTATGCCCTTTTTTAACTTATTACTTATTAATTTTACTGTATAATACGTATTTAATATTATTCAAATAAACTTTGAGATGAATTGGGTAACAAGGAAGAACTGATTTCATGTTTATTTATACATTCTTGTTAGATAATAAATCATTCAGATATTAATTAGCAATATTATGTCTCGCATATACATTTTTTTATGTATATCTGAATGTAGCAATGATTATTTTCCTTCAAAAACAATAATAAGAAAGGAAACGACGATACTCCTACATTTTAGCAGTAGCTTTCCATATTACACAAAAAAAGAAGCAGACGGTAATCAAAACAAACTGAGTTTGATTCGGTTTTGGTTTTTAACATCATTGGTTGCCCATTACAAGGAATTATTCAAATACCGGTTCAATTACATAATTTTTATTCTTGATGGAATTTTGTTTTTCACAGTAATATTACAAGCGAACCCAGTAAAAAATGTGTTGAAATAGGGGAATAAAAAATATATAAAAATTCTTAAGTTATGTTTTCTTCATAATATTGCATTTTAAGTAATATTTAATATAATTTAAAGTTCTTGTACATTTAAATTTGAATTTAATTATAGATAGAAAGTTGTGGTTTTCTCGAACATTGGCCATTTTTTTTATATTAATCTCAGTTCACGTCAAAAGTGATTTTCGACATGCTTATTAGTTTTTGAGTCGTTGATATTTCTGATAACCTCTGTAGTAGCTGTAATTGGACTTATTCTGAAATGTTGATACTATTTTACAAGTATCTGATTGTTTTCGACTTCAAGTTATCTCAAAAAATAAAAGAGTTATAATCGATCCTTTTTCCTAATTTAAAAGAGGATAGAGTTAGCCATGACTAATGATACACTAAAACAATATTTGCATTTGCATGGAGAAAATAAATTCGTACTATGTGTGAAGGGACAAACTTTAGTAGACGCTTCCTTTAATGTTAATCATTAAGTTAGTTATTTATTTCCGACATAATTTTGTTTTTTTGAATTAAAATCTATGGAAATTTCAAAAAATTTATAATAAACTACAGCCTTTATGCTCAAGGAAGATTTTTTGAAGGTTAGTTAGGTTGCAATTTCGTTATTGTGAACCTTCAAAGTTTTAGTCGGTCTTAATAAATAACAGATATTGTTATTGCCATTGTCAGTGAGAAGGATAATTAATTATACATATAAAAAAAATGTATTTACAGCAAATTTGCACTGGAGTTGATTAATATTCGTGTTATAGATGTCCTTCTTCAAGTGAATTTAAAATTGAGGTTTGATATTCACATCAGGAATCGCCGCGAATGCGAAACACCGATGTTCTTTAACGGCAACAGCTATTTTAGTCGACCAAAGTCAAAATAACTTATAAAATAAAAAAACGTGGCGAGGTAAATGATTCGCAAAATCTATGTTTAGCACGGCCGTATCGTATATTTGAAATGCAGTGCGTCTTGGAGTCTTCGTCTTTCAAAAAAGCCAGATTTCATACAACAAACACGCAGATTCAAGTTAATTCTGCCCTCATTTTGTGGGAGTTAGATCGTGGGTGGTATGCTTGCGAAATTATAAAACCAACAAAAAATAGTTATAAAATACAACGATGTAAATGAATTAAAAAATAAACTTTCCCTTTTTGGTATGCATGGGTATAAACTAAAGTACTGCAATTATATTAATGCCAAAATAACAAGCAGATGTTATTCAAGTTGTTTGGACAATAGAAGAAACGAGACAATAATTGGTTGTCCCGAAGTGCTCGTTAAGTTTGGTATGAAGCAGAGTTAATTTCCCACATTAATGAAAGTTCTTGAAACGCGTAACTACCACACAGTTATTTGCCCTGCTGCTTTATTGGATTGAGGCAGCAAACACATCTCGCGAAAATTCTAAAAGGCACTGTTAATAGTCTAACTAACAGAATATTTGGTAAAAAAATACAGTACATATTTAATTTCGGGAGTAGTTACCTTCAGTGAAAATAAAAAGATTTAAATCAAACTATCTTTCTTTATTATTTTATTTCAATTACTTACGTAGGTACTTAAGATATTTCGACTAAAATGTAGGTATAAAAGAGTTTTTGGGAAATGTAAGCTTATCGTTTACTTCTTTTCTCTTTCTTGCCCTTTGTTCTTTTTGCTATTTTTATTTTCTTTGATAGAGATTTTGAGAAAACAAAGTGTTTTTTGTAATACCTCATTATTTACTATAAACAAGTAAAATTTATTTCAATATTGTCAGGATGTGTAGATTTTTTGTTTTTGTAATTAAAAGATTTTTACGATTTAGACCGATATACCTCTGTTTAGTCACCATCTACGAGGATATATTTATATCAATGAATGTAGAACCTCGGTACTACATTTAGAGGACCATATCTCACAATCAGTAGAACTTTTTAATTGATGTACTCGAAAGTTCGTCTAAAGTACAATATACCTACCTATTTTATAGTACCTAAATAAAGTAATGTTTCAAAAAACATCTGCGTTTTTTCAAAATCTCTACCAATAAAAAAATTATAGCAAAAATAAAAGACTGATATAAGTTCATGTTCATATTTGGCATCTCTCAAAAGCTCCCCTATACTTCCATCGAGTATTTTAAAAAGTGATTGTCAAAAATTAAACAAATACATTTTCGTTGAACTAATGGAATCAAAATTGTACAAAGGTAACTTGATTTAAATCAGTTTAATTTGTCTACCACTGATGTATGGACCATTTTTGTCAAATATCCTGTATAATACAATATCTACTTTTTATACTTAATAATGAAAGTTAATTAAATTAACAAATCAATTTAATATGAATGGGTACCTTAGAAACTTTTTGCTAGACTTTAATAAATGAATGAAACAAAACTATTATTGATATTTTTAATTTACCTTGTAGAATATTAGAAATTCTAAAACAATAACTAAAATCATTTAATTTTCATTAATGTTGTGCGCTTTGAAGTGGAAATGGTAAAAAATGATTCTGAATAATATCCAGAGCTTTCATAAATGATTACAAGCCACGTGACGTCGAGCTTAGGCAACCAACATAGCACAACTGGTACTGCCAACTAAAAATCCCTGAATCTTATTGTTCCTTGTTTTTTTTTTAATTTTAAGCGTTTAATTTTCAGTATTAGTAAAAGTGGTTTAGATTACTCAGTTTTTTTAAACTTAAATTCGTTTGATAACGATGGACAGCTACGGATTTTTAAATAAAAAGAAAAATTAAATCTAACTTAATTTAACTCGTACATTGCACATTGAAAGTTAAAAAATTTTTGTAAATTAAAGGTATTTGAACAGACAAATAAAAGTTATTATAATCAGTGAACAAAATTATTTGTAATTTAAACTGCAAATATGTTTACAAGTATAAAGGAAGTGGCGGGCTTTTATCTGTATAAGTAACTAATGGTGAGGTTAATTTATCTGTCTGTATTTACAAGTGTATATTTATATCAGTATTTTTTATCAACGACTGGCTGTACTAGGTACAAATAAAGTAACTACGAAATTTATTTCTAATATCTGGGCCAATTACTCGATCGATAATTATTATTACACATATAAATCCAAACTAAACCCTTGTTATCGCTGCATTCATTGTTTGTAGATAGCATTCCTAAAATTTGAACACCTAATGCTTGAGATCATTCTATTTTTTTTCAAAAATAAACCATTTATTGTGGTCTGTGATTTATTATGTATGTGCTCCAGTAATAGAGAAATAAATGTTACAATGATCACAATCACATTTTATTGTGCAATACTGATCTGACTAGGTTTTCAAACAGGCAATTAATTCCTAAATCTTATCTTCACGCAACTGTGGAAAAATACCTGTAATCTAATAAAAATAAGGATAAAAACAATATAAATTTCTGGACACTTTTATTAGTTTAGTATTTATTTTAAGTATCGTTATCTTTTAACAGCGTTTTCTCTTTGTTTCAGTTTCATCCACCATGGGGAAATTTTCAGGAAAAAAATGCCGTCTGTTAACGATGTTGTGGCTTACCACAAGTTTCTTCTTTGCGGAAATTGTGGTAGGCTACATAACAAATTCTATGGCCCTGGTAGCGGACAGTTTTCATATGTTGAGCGATGTAGCTGCCTTAGTTATAGCTTTCTTATCAGTTAAGGTAAATTTCATTGTAATAGTCAATATAACATTAATGCAGGGAATGATATTCCATGGTATTATTAAACTCAAAAGAAATAGTGTCATTCGCAACGTGAATGGCTAGTGCTAGATGAACTATAAGCTAATCCTTTTCATTTAATAGCAAATCAAGTATACACACAATGTAGGTAGGTACGTAGGGTATCTTATAAAACCAATGTGGATATCATTGCTTATGTAAACTACGAAATAATATACTCAAGGGTGGATATTGCAACCAGTGATGGCAGATGGGTAGACGACTTGAAAATACTAGATGTTAAACAGAAATTCCCTAGAATTCTCTCTAGTATACGACACCTTCACCATTTATACGCATGTGGTAACGTCACTAAAGAGACTGGTGAAGTGGGTTCATATATTGGCATAAAAACGCAACAGTTTTTTGTCGTTTTTCTAATTGCCACATTTCCAGAGCTATTACAGCTTAAACATATTCACATCATTGATTTTATTGTGCGAAACAGATAGTGCTTTTTCAAACTTCAAACAATTGACAGGAGATTTAAACAGAAAGGGACAGAAAGAGCAAATATTGTAATTTATCTGCGCAAAGGTATTCCGCGACTAGCTGACTTAAATTGGGGAACTATTATTTTGAAACAGAACAGACTAAACTTGTAGTATAACTTAATTAGACAGTTGAGATGTTCAACAACAAAACAGCGTAGAACAGCGTACAATTCTAAAACATTTTAATAAATATATCAACGATGGATCACGGGGTGCAAAGATAGAAGGTCTGACAATGTTACAGGAAATAAATTTGCTTGTAAAGTCATTGGCAAAGTTAAGATGGTTAAACCGCCTTCAGATGTATGTCTTGTTATTGACCATAAAACTGTTTCTTTATTAAATCCAATATCAAGGAAACACACCAAAAACAACACTTTGAAGCTTACTTTGCACTTGGTTATATATTCTAGAAGGAATGAGTCAGAAAACGTAGAATATTTCAATGCTTAAACTTGAAGAAAATTGTGATGTACCTAATTTTTGTTTGCAAAGTGTTTGCTATTTATGATTAATTTAACTTTTGCTATCTAGTGATAATCTGAGAACTGAATTAGTTTATAATATAATTGTCCGATTATATTTCAAAATAAGTTATTATTAGTTGTAATATTGACATTCTATGTTGTTTTTTTATGTTACATAAATTCAGATATGATAATTTCGTTATTTTTGTTGCTCATAAATATTGCGTAAGTTATAAAATGATGATTGTAAATATTATGAGGCTATGCCAACTTAATTAAATATTACTTTCGCCTTTACAGCTATGTATTTATTATTTACCAGTGAATGTACTAATTAATTAACAGTTGGTAGAAGACAATAGCAAAATAGCAGACTACCTCTAAATAGTTAAATTTCCCTCCCAAGTACTCTACGTAGTTAAACTGATTTTTTTTAAACATGATTCGTGCCATAAGTAAATGGATAAATGATACATTTTGTCTCTTACGTGTTACGATCAAGTTAAATTGACTTTATGTATATTATACTGCTACTATTATTATCAAAACAAAATTAAATTCTTTTCTAGGATTTACCTTGAGAAAAAAATGGATAAAAATTATATTGCATTAATTGTGTACACTAAATATTATTAATGTGGGGGTAATAGAAATTTATGAAAGAGGTCCATATTAGATTATTGTGACCTAAGAGCCTACGAGCTATTGACATTTACAATTAATATTTTCATAACAATTAATAACAACATAATTTATAATAGTTATGTGTTTTGTTAATATTTACTTATTTATTTCAAGCAAATTATGCAATGTCAATAATAAACATTTTGTAATGAATTTGGCCTAATTATCATTATTGGTAAATTGGGTCATGATGATGAATTGTATTTTTCAGATAAAGAAAATTAGGACATTTAAAAAAATATATTACTTATTGTGTCCTTTTCATTATCCTTAAAGTTTGTGTGCTTTAAAACTTTAACGCCGTGACCTATTCACAAAAATAATTGTAGGCTATTCACAAAATTCACTTTACCAACAATGAATTCAGTCTTCCAAAACAAAATAAACAGTCATAATTTAAATATAGTGCAGTAAAAAATATGACTACAATTTGAAATTACAACAAATTTTGAAAACCAGAAATTATTTTGTAAAACTATATGTTTTATGTATATGTTTTCACTTCATTGATAAATTTGACTTTTTCAGATGTCACCAAAGAAGTGGTCCAAAAATACGTTTGGTTGGGCTAGAGCGGAAGTGTTGGGAGCGTTAGTCAATGCAGTGTTCCTTGTAGCTATATGTTTTTCGATCACGGTAGAGGCATGCAAAAGATTTTTGGAAACTGAAGAAATTCACAGACCTCAACTGTTGCTCATAGTTGGAGGAGCAGGTCTTCTAGTCAACCTTATAGGCTTGCTACTCTTCCACGGTAAATTTTTTAAGTACATAATAATTTAGCTATTAATAATACTAATATCCCGATTTTCCAAATATATGTCCCATAAATTATAATTTAATTAGGTCGATTAAGTTTCTTCAGATTCATTAACAAAAATGCTTTTTTGGAAGGGGTTACCTGTTTAATACATTTGGGCCTATTTGTAAAAAAAAATCTAACGTATTTATGCATCGTGGGAATAATTTACTTTCTCTTTATTCAGGTTAACCAATTAATATTTATACTAAAAAAAAGTACATTTGGGCTTATTTGTAAAAAAAAAATTACCGTATTTATGCATCGTGGGAATAAATTTGCTTTCTCATTATTCAAGTTGAGCAATTAAAATTTATATTAAAAAAAAGTGAAATTACGTAATGAAAGTGTGATAATTGAAATTACTTCATTGGAATTTAAAAACATTACAAATATATTCAAATAAATGTTTAAAAATGCTACAAGGCCTTTTGCATTGAAAACTAACCAATTTACAGGTATCCATAATACATCTTATGAATATGTATGTATGCATTTGAAATGGGAAATACCTGTTTAATACATTTGGGACTATTTGTAAAAAAAATCTATCGTATTTATGCATCGTGGGAATAAATTTGCTTTCTCATTATTCAGGTTAAGCAATTAAAATTTATATTAAAAAAAAGCGAAATTGCGTAATGAAAGTGTGATAATTGAAATTACTTCATTGGAATTTAAAAACATTACAAATATATTCAAATAAATGTTTAAAAATGCTACAAGGCCTTTTGCATTGAAAACTAACCAATTTACAGGTATCCATAATACATCTTATGAATATGTATGTATGCATTTGAAATGGGAAATACCTGTTTAATACATTTGGGACTATTTGTAAAAAAAATCTATCGTATTTATGCATCGTGGGAATAAATTTGCTTTCTCATTATTCAGGTTAAGCAATTAAAATTTATATTAAAAAAAAGCGAAATTGCGTAATGAAAGTGTGATAATTGAAATTACTTCATTGGAATTTAAAAACATTACAAATATATTCAAATAAATGTTTAAAAATGCTACAAGGCCTTTTGCATTGAAAACTAACCAATTTACAGGTATCCATAATACATCTTATGAATATGTATGTATGCATTTGAAATGGGAAATACCTGTTTAATACATTTGGGACTATTTGTAAAAAAAATCTATCGTATTTATGCATCGTGGGAATAAATTTGCTTTCTCATTATTCAGGTTAAGCAATTAAAATTTATATTAAAAAAAAGCGAAATTGCGTAATGAAAGTGTGATAATTGAAATTACTTCATTGGAATTTAAAAACATTACAAATATATTCAAATAAATGTTTAAAAATGCTACAAGGCCTTTTGCATTGAAAACTAACCAATTTACAGGTATCCATAATACATCTTATGAATATGTATGTATGCATTTGCCATAGGAAATAGGTTTCAGATTATTTTTAGATTTGCGGTTTTTCCCCTTATAAACAATTTTGCTTTTCACGTTTACTTATTAACATTTACCCGTTCTCTGTCCCGTACTTTAATTGAAGGTTAAAGGTTTATTGTTTTCACAGACACTTCACAGTTTTAGTTTGAGCTTACAAATTAATATGTCCCAATGAATTTGGGAAAATTTCCTAAACTTATAAAAAATAATTCTGTTAAACAAAACAAGAAAACAAGCAATTGAGAAGGAAGGAATAATACTTTACTATTTTGGTGATACACTGTCGGTTACTTTCATTAACTACATAAGTCGTCAGAATGGATAGCAGCACTTTCAAAGATATTTTATTCAAATTTAATGGAGGGAGTTTTCCAGGGACGATAAATTAGAATATAGTATTAACCTTTAGATAAAAAAATCAAACGAATCATAATTTTCTACAAAAAATATTCTTCTTAGAGCATGGTAGCTCCCACGGGCATTCTCATGGCCGCCTTTCGCACAGTCGCAACCGACTTACCCAGTTGGCCGTTACCGACGACAATGAAAACGATGAGACTTACCCTAGCCCACCTCCTCAGGCAGAACAGAAGTCGTTGACTCATTCCCATTCATCTGGACAGATGAATATGAGAGGAGTGTTCCTCCATGTTCTGTCTGACGCATTGGGATCCGTAATAGTAGTTATTTCTGCATTGGTAAGTGACGATGCAACTTCTTTAAACATGTGAGTTTAAAACTAATAGAGGTTAACTAAAAATTTGTTTTCTTTAGGTGTTTTGGTTGACCGACTGGGAATACAAGTTCTATATCGACCCAGCTCTAAGTATAATTCTGGTCTTGCTGATCTTACACTCGGTGTGGCCGTTGCTCAGGGATTCTGCCCTTATTCTTCTGCAGACCGTACCGACTCATATACAAGTAGACGCTATTCAGAACAAGCTATTAGCCAAAGTAGATGGAGTGTTAGCAGTTCATGAGTTTCACGTCTGGCAGTTGGCCGGCGATAGGATCATCGCTTCTGCTCATATTAAGTGAGTGATAAAATAATTTTGATTTTTGTTTATTCGACTTAAATTTCTTTCGAACAGATGTAGAAACCTCTCAGAATACATGAAAATCGCTGAAAAAGTAAAGGAGTTCTTCCACAACGAAGGGATTCATTCGACGACCATCCAACCGGAATTCATAGACTACGTCGACATACCGACGACATCACAGGACGTGGACCAGACGACGGAGGATTGCTTTTTAGATTGCCCGAAGACGAGTAGTGACAGCGACAACTGTTTGAAGAACACGTGTTGCGGGCCATCTAAGCAGGTTCGTTTCTCCTTCTAGCTGCAATATGGTTGCTTTAACTTTTGAAGTTTATTCCTAGTTGGAGAAGGTGCACGTTGGTGTATAATAAATGTTTGGTGCTTATATACGAGCTTCCTTAATTTGAACAGGCAGATGCAGTGACGTTTATAGATTTCTGAATGGTAATTTAAGTAATGTGTTGAGTTTTTCTGCTTGTCGCTGTGATGGCTGGTTGATTGTTAATTTTTAAAAGTATAGTTTTCACTTCATTTACGGTTTTTAATATAAATTCTTCCAAATTAATAAAAACATTCATTTGTGAGATCTTTTCTTCACTAATTCAGTTTCGAGTCATAACCATGTTTTTTCCTTTAATATACAGGGTGTAATAGCAACGTTAACGAATCTTTTAGGGCAGCTAGCCCTAAAAGATTCGTTAAAATTCGTCCCCAAAACAAGCAGGAATACACAAGAAACATTTTTTCCTATAACGATAATAAAAATCTTTATGTTTGGAAAGTTTGGAATTGAAACGGTAGTGTTTAGAGACAGTCACTCCATTTTGCTTTGGGGCTCCCGGTATGTGCACTTTCCTAGTTTCTGAGTAAACAACTTTCTCAAGTTAGCTTTTTTGTATATAAGATGTACGAAAATTACCTAAATTTTAAAAATGATTTTATTAAAATTGCCATGCCTGGCTACGTCACATGAGAAATGGGCTTTCTCCAATTGTCGACCAAATTTTGACACATCGTAAAACCCTTGGGAATCATTTTAGCAAATTATTCCCCATGCTCTTTTGCAAGTTTTGACAGGATGAATCTGCCATAAAAAATTTGTCACGATTCTGCTGTTATACCCCGTATATTTTGAATTGTTAATTTTTTGTGTTGCTAAGTTTCCAGTACTATCATAACTTATAATTTTAAACTCTTTTAACAATATATACTGAAATAAATTAATTAAATATGGAAATAAGCTAACATTCCTGAAATTCATTAAATTTGTAGATACAATGGTAATTAGATAAAAAAATTCCATTCCTCAAAAGGCCACGTATATAATTTTTTTGTGTTACTTTAATAATTTACTTGATACCAGTCTTCACCAGACCTTTTTAAATGTTTTGTTAAACGCAATGTAGACTGTATAACAAATATATCGAAATTATTATAGTCGGTAGCGTTATCAATATACTTTCGTATAATTAAGTATTTTGCCACATTTCTGAGAGAACTATGAGACCAATATACAGGCTGTCTTATAAAAAACGCCCCAAGCTGTAACTCTGTTGTTTTATTTAAAAAAACAAAAGACTGTTGTTAATGGCTTGACAAATACTATCATCAGAACGTTAGGCGATTTTCAATTGTTTTTTCTTAAATGTCATTATTTTCTTTTTGGCCTGTTTGATAGAATATTTTTTCTGCAGTCAACTTGATATTTGTTAAATATTTTATGGAAAACATATTTTTTTACAAAATTTATTAGAGAAATGCTATGTCTAAAGTAACAACAACAAAGCAAAACAAATAGATACCAGATCAACAACAAAATAAAAATGTAACACTAAAAAACCTTATAAAAATTGTTCGAACTGTCTTCCATCTTGTTGAACACATAATTAACATCTTCTGGCTACCTCATACGTAGCATTTCATATTAAGTTTGGAAGTATTTTACGGCAAACGTTTATAATCCTCTCTCTTAAAATATCTAAATTTTCCGGATGTATCAAAAATACTTGATCTTTAAGATATCCCCAAATCCAAAAATCTGCGGGGGTGAGGTCAGGAGAACGGGCGGGCCATCGAACAGGACCAGTCATGCCAATCCACCTTTCATCAAACTTAGCATTTAACAAATTAGTGTTTCTTCTGGCATTATGTGGGGGAGCACCATCTTGTTGAAAATAAATTCTATACACTTCTGCAAGCGGTAAGGTATTCAAAAAGTATGCAAGAGTGTGATATTTGTCTTGAGTTAGATTTCCATCGATGAAAAATGGTCCAATTAATTGATTACCTAGAATACCACACTAAACCTAACTGAGCAAGTGGCATCAAATATTATGATTAAAGCTTTTATGTTTGTTAAAATATAATACACGGGCGGATATTACTGAAAATCAATGTTAAAGATTTGAAATCTTTCAAAGCTGACAAAACACCCTGTTTCTCAGACACGGTAAACGTTTGGTTATCTATGTTCTCGCTTTAAAAATTGTCATTTTAATTTTATTTAATAAAGAAAAACTTTTTAGAGCTGTGGTGAAACACTTACTTAAACAAAAATATGATTGAAATTACTTAGCAAACAACTGATACGCAGCTATAAATAACTAAGTAAAATACAGTCATACCTCTAATAATAAACTAAAAACCTTGCGACAAATAAACCAGCTCTTAATTTCTTACTTTGATGATTCCACCGATAATTCATTCGTAAACAACAAAAGTGCGGAAGTATGACCGTATATGCTTGCACCCAAGTTTGTGCTTTTCGAATTGTAATTTGATTTAAAATTGGCAGGGTCGCGAATCTCCGAATACAACTCCGTACATCTGTCGACAGAGGACCTCATTAGCGGGCATGCCGTCAAACCAGGAAGAGATGAACGAGATGGAGAGGGGCGTCCTCCTCAAAAATGGAAGTTGTTCTCTACAAAATGACTGTGATTGTAACAGCCTCCGTGGTTCTCATAACTCACTCAGGGGTTGACATCCAATTTTCTTGTTATCAAATGGAAAAAAAGTTTTTGGCTGTTGAATATAGGGGATGCTGCGATTGCATTTCTAATATTCTTTTCGGAACCTCTGAATTGCAGTCAACTATCACTTCGGTGTAAATAATGCCCTATTTATTTTGCTGTACCTTTTATTTATAGTGTATCTGTATAATTCATTATTCTAGTCTGCAGTTAAAAATATCGTAGTGAGGATTTTATTAAAGATCTCATTCGTAATATTTGCTAAGGTAAATTCTTGTTGAATGTTATATGCAGATAAATTATGAGAACTGTTGAATGTTTTTTCTAAAATAATTTTAAATCGCAATCAGCGTAAAGTATAATTCTATTGTACATAATGACTATTTTAAGATATTATGTATGAAAATTCAAATACTGCCAAACATTTTAATTTTCGTCAAGTTCTATCTATAAAAACTACATTTTTTAATTTTAATTTCAGTTTAGTCGAGCGAGTATCTGGAAATATTGTCTAATATTCTGGAGCGATTCATTTGTATCAGCATCACATTTAAAATCATTTTTATTATTTAGTATTTGAGTTTTTTGTACTTAATATATTTCCTTTTACTTACGACAATGATTTTAGTGAATTTGTACGTTTATATTGTTTATTATTGACATATACAGGGTCGGAAAGTCCCCATGGTTCATCGGCCGTTATGAGAGAGCAATAAAGTAAGTGATAGAAATCCGTGCGATAGAGAAAGATGGCTAATAGTCTAATAGTCACCGCCCATTTCGCCCTTCCACAAATAAGAAGTGGATCTTATTTGTGGAAGTGTGAAATGGGCGGTGACTATTAGACGCCTTCATTATAGCCATCTTTCTCTATCGCACGGATTTCTATGACTTTCTTTATCGCTCTCACGTAACGGCCGATGAACCATGGGGCCTTTCTGACCCTGTAGATATTTATGTATTTGTTTTATGAACCTTATAAAGTTGTTTGCACATTAAATTTTTAATTGAAAATATGAACCACCAGAGTGTTGAAATGTATTTTTTTTTTTAAATAAATCTAATTCGAGTCCTCATGCATGCTTTTTATTTAATTTAAAAGTTTTATCCACAATATGAAGGTCCAGTACAGGGTGTCCCACTACGAACTCCATAGATGGATATCTGGGAAACCGCTCGAAGGATTTTTTTGATATTGTGATGGTGTGATACGGACCGTGGGGCCTACCAAGCTAGAATATTTTCGAGGTCATCGTATTTCCGGTTATACCGGAAATCGATACTAACTTTCTTATTTTAAATGAAACCCCCTGTATATTATTACATTTTTTTAAAGAGCGTATATTTTTAAGTTGAAACCATATAGCACACTCCATACTTAGGATTGACCGGTTTCGAGATATTTTGATTTTTAAGCAAAAATTGACAGATGCACTGTCAGCAAAATTTATTTTTCCCGGAAACATAGGTTTCTTTTTTTGTACAAATTGGACGTTTTGTAGAGGAAGATCTAATTTTTCGAATTTGACATGAAAATTTTCCAGTTTCTATATAGGGTGGTCAAAAAAAATTATTGAATATGAAGTTCAGAAAATGTGGAAAATTGAAATTTTTAAATGGAAACCCCTAATTTTTTTAACGTATTCGCATTCTGAACTAAAATTAAGTGTAACTTTGTTATACCTATACCTAAACTCAGCGATTTTCATTTTATTTACGAATAAACATTCCCCTTTTCTTAAAATGATGTTTCCATTGGCCGTGACAGGTAAGTAACAATCAACATGACGGCTGTTACAAGTTTTTTAATTGTATACGAGTGCATAGCCAACTTGCTAATTTCTGTTTAGATAGTGAATAGTGAATCTAAAAACTGATAAAATTTTTTTTAGACATATTGTTAACTGTAAGAAGTAATAATTTTTTGTAATAAACAAAAAAGCTGAGTGCATAATTTCTACTATTTTTCAAATTATTGAAATCGGATTATGCCATGCAATAAATCGATTTTAATTTTTTTACTCGAAAACGGTGCATCATAAGAAAAACAGTCGAAATATATCTTCTCTTCCAAATTAAACAAAGGATTGAAAAATAATTTTTATTTTAAGAAAAATCAGTGGCAGATCATTTTTTTCTTTAAAATTATCCAGACGTGCCTGTGCGCACGCCACTGGTGAAACTAAAAACAATATTGTAAAACATGTATTATTGTTAACAGTCGGAGCCTGTAAAATTACATTAAAATATTCAGAGCGGTTTCCGCAATATCTATAAATTTGCATTTTTTTATTAAAACTTTAACACCTTGTAGATGGAAAACTAAGCGTTTTCGGAATATGATATATTAAGGAAATTATCACAAATCGCTTGTACTATAATCTCCTGCAAGGAATGCATCGACTCACCAAACACTGTATATAGGGTGATTTCACTTTAATACAGAAACTCCAGGAATAGATTAGTTGCCAAAAAATAAGTAGAGTTTGCTCTATAAACTTTTTTCCTGGGGGACGTGGTATTCGAGATAGAGGGTGTTCATATTCATATCTTCATATTGCGCTGAACGATTTGAATAAAATTTACTACAGCATATTCACTTAATTAGATCTTTTATTGCATGTAATACTAACCTTGTGGCATTAACCCGTGGCGTGCTATTCCAAGTGCCACTCCGTTTTCTCAAGAAAAAAAAAACGCCACCGGCGGTTTCTTGTAGAAATAATGTTACATCCACGTACTGTTACGTTAAATGAATGAAAAGTCTCTTGGTGTTTTTTAGTAGCAGACGATGATATTTTGAAACATCAGTGCCTGATGAAACAATCCCACGTAAAATGTGGAAACAAAGAGAGCACATTGTGGCAGCTGTTTTTAACGTGATTAGTCTTTGTCCAGGGTCAATAGGACAGCAAGAATACATAATGTTTTTAGTTTTAATTTTGGATTACTTATTTCTAAAATTAGTGCGGACCAAATAAATTGAACACGCTGTAATATTACCCACCAGACAGGTTTAAAACTAAACCCACAAATATCTAGCATTCTTCCACTCCCTGATATTCCACCTACAATAGTTCTCTTTTATTTATGGTTAAGACTTACCGATTTGAGTTGTTTCTCAGTCCATGTGCAACTTACCGCTTATGCCGCTTCTCCCGCCCAAGTTGTCAACTTCAACGTTAATCCTTGTGATTAAAATAACAGGTAGAGATATTATTACAGTCCTTGTTTCAAACGTTAATAAAACTTTTAAGACACAAGTAAAGTCAACGTAGACTAATTAAAAAATTTATTGATTTTGTTAAAATTACAACAGGGAAATAAATGCTTTAAATGATAAAACAACATGTACAAATTAGAACTTATATAGGCTTTATAAAACACAAGTATTTTTTGATATCACACTAAACTTAACCGTTCATTTATGCTATTTATTACATAATCTTAAATAGACCAAATTCATGATGTCAAAAATATAGTCTGCTATTAAATAGCTTCGCTGACCAGCACAATTTTTTTTTTACTTCTAGTAGGCACATATTAAATAAATAAGTTCACAGGTAACCGTTACGTGTCATTTACTTTCGGAGTGCTTCGTCCCCACAACCAGTTCAGCAGAACTTTGGAAGGACTTTGGACGTCACGAGCTGAAACAGAACAGTGCAAGGGATAAAATTATTTTCCCGTTTTGGTAAAAATTGGTACTTACACAGAGTGTAACTGGCATCCACCAATTTGGCCGCTGCTTCGGGAGGCAATTTCGAAGCTTCGTTTATGTGTTGCTGCATAATAGACATCTGCTGCAATCTTCTGAAGTGCTGTTCGTCTACGAACGTTTTATCCTTCTTATAACCGACCTTCTTCAACTCGGACAATCTGAAAATAGAAAGCAAACAGTGGATATCACCCTTCGGTATGTGAGAAATAAACATACTTGCTCTCGAGATTTTGGATATCGCTGGAACCCTCTACTGGTTCCGTGGCTAATTCTGTTCCCGAAGCGGCAAGGAAAATGGCCGAGGATTTGCTGCGAGGTGTCGTGGGGCTCGAGGCAGAGGTTGATGGCACTGGTACTTCCTCGGGCCCTAATAAAAAAAAATTGAGAAAAAGCCTCTATGAAAATATGTGTATTAAATTAAATAAAGGAAACTTTTCGTCTATAAAAATGTGGTCTGGAAGGATAGCAATAGATGTGTTAAATGTGTTAGAAAATGTAAATACCTGCAAGTTTCCTTCGAATTTCTTCCTTCTCTCGTAGGGCATTGGACAGACGCAACTGCAGCGTGTCACGTTCCTCTAAAAGTTGAGTTAGCTCAACTGTTAATTCCTCACAGCGAACGTCTCTTTGATGAAGCATATAAAGCGCCAAATCTAATTCGGCCCGGCTAACCGGTTCCGATAAATCTTCTTCTGATAGTTGAGACCTATCAGAACTTATAGACTTTTCTACCTGTTTAGCAAGAGCAAGAAAAAATACTTCAGATGTAAACAAAAAAGCTTTTAAAGGGAAAATTATTAGTGCAACAAAACAATACTTACTGCAGCCGAAGGCGTAGGTTGCTGCGTAATGGCTTTCCTACCAATATCCATTTCTGCGATGAGACTGTCGTAATCACTACTTTTGGCGAACAGCTCCTTTTTCAGCTCTTCTATTTTAATAACTTGTTGCTCAATGATGCTCCTCATTTCAGTCAACTGCTTATCCTCTTCATCCAGCAAAGTGGACTGCTCGCCGATTTTCTCTTCTAATTGTTTAACCTTATCCTGCGACTGTTGACGTAAATTTTCTTCGGAAGTTACTCTTTCAGTCAACTGATTGGTATTTTGTATATATTCATTGAACTGACTTCTAACTGTTTCGATGTCTAGATCTTTAGCAGCGAGTAGTTCTTCGTAATGATTTTCCAAGTCTCTGAAATGTGTTTTCCTTAAGTTTTCCACGGAGCCGGCATATTCTTGTTCCTTAAATTGCAGAAGATCTCGTAATTTATTTAATTCACTTTCCTGAATCTCGTAATTCTGTTGTGAATATGCCAACTGTTGGTTCACACTTTCTAATTGATTAGTTTTGTTGGTCAGCTCATTCCTTACGCCGAACAGTTGCTCCTGGTACTCGGCTAAAGACTGTTGGAGCATGGAACAGTCTTTTTTAACTTGGGATATTTCTTCCTGTAATTTCTCGACATCTTCGTTGTTGTCATTCTTAAGGCTCTCGGTGAGTTGTAACTGTTGGTTTAATGTGGCGATGAGTTGATTTTTCTCTTCCAGGGAATTCTGTAAAGCCATACACGTACTGTTGAACTGGTCCAATTTCTGTTTATAATCTTCTATAGTCATGTTTGCGGTGACCTGTTCTTGACGGTACTCATTCAGTTCTTCTTGGCTCAAGTCCTGCTGAACCTTGAAAATGTATACAACTGAAACTCTGATTTGTTTATACAGGGTGGTCCTTGATAGACATGCCATTTAAGGACCATTTTTTTAATTCCAGTGAAACAAATTTAAATGTCTAATTTTAGTGGTTCAATTATGATTTATCAGATTTAACGGAAAAGTGAAATAAACTACAACAAATACATTACGACTCAAATAGTTCAAATTAACCGTCTAGTTTTATATTACATTTTTATAAAACTTCCGAATAATTAATGACATTAAAAAGTACTGTGTATTTTATCTTTTTTAACGAAGCACACTAAAGGACCAAATAAAAAAATTATAATTTTCATTTCTTACCTTGTAATTTTCTATAACCCCGTTCAGTCTAACGATTTCCGTATCCTTATCCTGAAGGAACAACAACTCTCCTTGTAGATCCCTTATGAAATTATTCAACCTAGTTATTTCACTCTCCTTTTCGCTAACCGTGGCGAGTTGTTTTTGTAAGTCCTCAACCAATTTGTTCATATTAAAGAGTTCTTCGTCTTTCCCATGCATCAACAACAGCTGTTTTTGTGAATCCTCAACAAGTCTATTCAATCTGGATATTTTCTCGTCTTTTTCTTGAAGTGATTCAAGGTCTTTCTGTAAATCTTGGACCAACTGATTCAATCTAGAGATTTCGCCTTCTTTGTCTTGAACGGAATGGAGTTGATCTTGCAAATCTTGAATGGACTGATGTAATTTGATGATCTCTTGTTGCTGAACATTTAACAATTCTAATTGTCTTCGGAACTCATTTAGTATATCCTGTTTTTCAAACGATATCGGGAAGGCCGTATTCTTTTCTAAAATTTTCACGACCTCTTCAACGACTTCCCGTTTTTCATCGAACTGCTTCTGAGTTGTGTCGACGATAATGCTCAAACTTGAGAGCTTATTTTCTTTCTCTTTCAGATTGCTTGAAAGTTGCTCTTTCTCGTTTTCTATTGCTGTTAATTTGCCCATGAGATTTTCATTTTCATTCTGTTTCTCGATGAGCGTGTTATTAAGATCGGTTATGTAACGCTGACAATCGGTTATTTGCTGCTGGAGGGCAGAAATACGGTCAACTTCGTTTCTTATCTCGGCATCGACATTTTTACGCAATTCGTTGTTTTCATTGACCAGAGCGTTGCATTTTTCTTCGAGTTCATTGATTTCATATTTTAATTTCTGCTGGATCGAGCCAAACTCAGCTTCCACGGAATCTAGATGTAGCTTCCAACTTTCGGCAACATCAGTTCCTGAAATTTTAATGTGTAAAGGTACATTTTTAGTACTTTGTACTATTTATGAATTTGTTCCCGTTGGATAAATAAATAACACTTACCTCTCTGATCTACCTGGATAATCCAACTCTCTTCCAGTTCCTTTACAGTTTTAGATATTTTCTCTTCTGTTTCATTTACAAGCTGCTCGTAGTCCTTTTGCTTTTGTTCTAAATTATGTGTCAACTCTTCGATTTGTTTTTCAAGATTTTCTTTCTGGTTCTTCAACTCAACAAACGCAGTCTCTTTCTCTGTTAATAAAGACTCCAACTGGTATTTTTCTTGGGCCCACTCAAAAGTATCTTTCGAAGAAGACTCCTGCTCCTTGTTCTGCAACTCTTGAGATACTTTAGTTAATTCTGCGACTTTTCCATTGTATTCGGCATGCAACTGGTTGTATTTCTGTTTCTGCTCAACTAGTTCTTGGGACAATTGATTAAATTTCACTGTCGCGTCAGCCTGCAAGCGTTCATTCAATTGTTTTTGCTGTTCCAATTCATTGCGTAAATCACTAATTATTCCATCAAACTGCGTCTTCAGTTTTTCAAATGTTTCTTTTTGTTGTGTTAATTCATTCTCTAATTCTGATATATTCCTCTCGTTTTCGACTTGTAATTCGTCATATCTTTCTCTCTGTCGCTTCAAATCGTTCGTCAGCTGTTTGACTTGAATGTCAAGTTCTTCCTTTAATGTATTTACTTGTTCAAATGACGATATAAGATCGTTGAAAGCAGTTTCCTTTTCTTGCAGAAGACGATCTTGTTGAGACTTGAATTGATTTAACTGAAGCAGCTCATCTTCTAGTTCCTTTATTTTTTCGTTCAACTTGTCACTCTTTTCATTTTCTTGAAGATCTTTCACTAATTTTTCGTTATCTCCTAATAACTTTTCAAATTCGTTACTTCGTTCCGTAACATACTTTAAGTTTTCTTGTAACTTTTTAACATTGTCTTCTTTTTCTTTTACTGTTTTTTGTAGTGCTTCGCTTTGCGCATATATGATGTTTCTTTCGTTTAAAACCGTTTGAATTTCTTCGGATTTATGTGTAAGCTCCTGCTCCAAATTTTTAATTGTCCCTTCCAGGACTGATATCTTTTTACGTTCTTCCTCTGCGCTGTCATGTTCTGGTGGTTTTGTTTTTTCTAGAGTAATCCTTATTTGCCTTTGTTCCTCCAATAAAGCCTGTAGTTCTTCATTATCTAACGCTAACTCTTTAATAGTCTGCTGCAGCTCTTCAATTTTTTTGTCGTCTCTGCTGGAAGAGGCTTCCGCTTCGGGAACGCTTTTCGATTTTGAACGCTCGTTGAATCCATCGCTACCCCATTCATACTGCTGAAGTTTCTCTTCAACTTCCTGATGTTTTCGTTTCCAACGAAGCACTTCTGTGTCTTGAATCTCCTTCATTTCCGTCATCCTCTCATTTGCCGAAGTCAAAACGTCGACACGCTTCAGTACGTTGACCTTCTCCTGTTTTTCCTTCTCCAACTCGTTTGTAACCTCTTTAACTTTCTTTTCCAATTGGGCTATTTGCGTCTTTAGTTCGTCTTGGATCGCTGCGTCCAAGTCGAAGAAATCTGCTCCCTCGGTTTTCTTATTCTGTTGTTTTTCCATGAGCTGGTCGTTCTTTTGTTTCAACTCCTTGCACTTTTTAATAAGTTTGCCGGATCTTATTTGTAACTGCTTAATTTCCTCGAGGTGGTTTTCCCGTTCGACTTGCAGGACTTGCAGGGCTTCGTTCAACCGTGCGACTTCACTCCTTAAATTCTGTATTTGAGGAGCGCTTTCCGTCTTAAACTGGTGCTCTTCCTCTAATTTTGCCTCCTCCGGTCCCCATCCCCAACCGTCGTCATTCTCACCAAATACTTCCGGTTTCACGTGCCCAGAGGCCTTCTCCATGGGCTGGTAGGTCAAATAAGCTCGTTTCGGTTGCATAACCTCTTCAATGACAGGGTGGCTTTGTTCTCCCAACGAGAGACTTGTCTTTTCAAATTCAATGCTTTGTAAATCCTTTAAATGTGAGGCCGCGTCAATGACGTCGGCTTCGGACATGACTTGAGATTCTATTTCTGACATGGGTCGATTCGAAGCTCTCTTGGGTCTCGTAGATGCTGGAATGTCTTCTTTATTTGGGTTTACTTTTTCGTATACCAAACGAGTCAGTTCGTTAACCATTCCTGTGCATTCTTGGAAAGCTTCCTCCTTTTCTTTGTCTATGTTATACAGTAAAAATTCCAATGCCTTGATTTTATTCAGGAGCTCTTCTTTTGAGTTGTCCACAATTGGTTGCTGAGGTTCTGGTTGAGGAAGGAACGGATTTTGTTGTGGTATACCTTCTATTTGGTCGGGAATGGGGAACCAATCATTAGAACTGCTTGGCTGAACACTTTGATCGACAAACCAATCACCCGGTTGGCTGGTCTGTTGGGATTGCTGGCTGCCCGGCCAGTGGAATGTGGGAATTACCTCCTGTTGTGCAGGAACAGATTCAATTTTATTTTCAGCTGGTGGTAAACTTGTAATTTCCATGATAGATTCTTTTACAGGAGATTCTTCGATATCAACTATATTCTCTGTTCCATCAGTTTGACTTCCAATTGTCCTCATACTTCTGATTCTGTCTTCCGCTTCGGTTAAAATACTTTCAACCATTTCTCTGGCTATCTTGTCTATCAGTTCTTTTTCAAGGAATTCAATTTGTTGGTTCAAGGCTTCTATTTCTTTCGTGGAATCTTTCCAATTGTAATTCGCAACTCTTAGTTCATCGGTGAGTCCCTCCAGCTACAACAGTTAAGAAAGAGTTATTTTTACTCATTATTACATAAAATGTCTTCCTAAATTATTTTATTTAGCACTTACCTTTTCTTTGTCACTTGCATCTTTCGCTTCCATTTTCTGCTTATATTCCGCAATTTCCGATAGTAGTTCATCCTCCCTCTGTCCCATTTCCTTCAGCGATTCCCGTAATTTTTCACATTCAACCGTTAACTCATTTCTGCACTTAACTAGTTCCTCCAACTGTATCTGGTAATCGGCCTCGATATTTTCATAGTCGTTTTGGTTCTGTTTCTGTAATTCCAAATTTTCATCTTGGATTTGCTTCTGGTTAGCCTCTAAGATAACGAGCTGTTTCTTCAGTTCACTATTGGAGGTTTCCAGCTCTTCCATGTTGGTTTGCAAAGCTTTTAACTGGGTCACCCTTTCGTGCGCCTTCTTCAATTTTATTTTGAGTTTGAGGGTTATCTCCTCCAGCTCTTTGTTTTTCTGGCCTAGCTCCTTGTTTTCTTCCGTCACTTCTTCTAGCTTTTTCACTAGCGCTTCATCATTCGCTGTCACTTGAAGGAGTTTCTGACCAAGTTCTTCTTCTACGAAGGACTTCTCCTCGATGCTCTTCGAGGTTATATTCAATTGATCGTTTAGCTCCATGGTTTTTTGGACGAGCGCCTCTTTCTCTTGCTCTAAATAGGCGACGTTCTCTTGTAACTTGTGAACTCTGTCTCTATAATGTGCGATGTCGCCCTCGTTGGTCTCGATTATGAGTTCCAGTTCCTTGATTTTTTCTTCTTTGACTGAATCTTGGTTAGTGGGGATGTTATCGAAATCTTCGTGCAAGCTGGTGGATAATTCTTGCTTAAGGCTTACTTCCGTCAGCTTCTGCTCTCTGTGTTTTAGTTCGGCGACTGACGTTTGTAATTCTATTCTGTTCTGTTCGAGATTTTCCACAATTTCAGTGAGTTCTCTTATTTTGATATCGGAGTCTAAAAGTTTTGCGTTTTTAAGGTTGACTTCCTCCTCCAATTCCCTTAACTGATGGAGGATCACTGCGATCTTATCCTCGGAACTTGAAATGTCAGACTTCTTTTCGTTTAACTCTGTTTCCCATTTTTCTTTTTCTGCATTGTATTTTTCTTCCAATGCCTGATACGCTTGAGATTTCTTCTTCAAATTGGCGGCTATTTTCTTCATTTTATCCATCTGTTCTTTATTTTTATTTGTTAGTTCTAGAACCTTTGCTTCGAGAGAACCACTATTACCATCTAATTGTTTCTGTAATGCTAAATATTTTTCTTTCATGTCCTGAATTACAGCACTGATTTTCTTGTCTTTTTCCTCGAGTTGACGCTGAAGATTCTGAATAAGTTCATCTTTCGTTTGAAGATCCTGTGCCAATTTTTTGTATTCAATGTCTTTCATTTCCATATCGTGCTCGGCTTCGATTATTTTTTTGTTCATTTCGATCAGTTTTGTGTTAAGATCAGTATTGATATCGTTGTTCCGAGAGATTTCCTCCTCGTACTCCTGCGCTTGTTCAATTTGCTCATTCAGCGCCGTTTTAAGTTCAGTGAGTTGACTTTCCATGAGTTCGAAGTTCCCCAATTTACTGTTCTCTATTTGCAGATTATTGACGACTTCATTAAGGTCAGTTATTATTACATTCAAGTCCGTTATGTCTTTTTCCCTTGCATTAAGTTTTGTTTGAAGATCGTTTATAAGATTAGCAGAGTTAATGAATTCGTTTTTATTTTCTTCGATTACACTTTCATAGTTGCTGATTTCCGCTAAATGATCGTGAATCTTCGTTTCGATTTCCTCTATTTTCTCTTTCGCTTGTTTAAGTTCGGACTCTAAGTTGTGTTTCTCATGGACGTGTCTGTCATACTCCTTCATGGTGCCTTTCAGCATCTCGTTTTCTGCTAATAACTTTTCATATTCAGTCTGCAATTCCTGCAACTTTGTTTGGGAAGTAGATTCTGAACCATGAACTTCCTTTAATCCTTCCTGTAACAAAATTAAATATTTCTGAAGACGTTAGTAGTAAAGCTGAATATAGTGCAGTACAGGACAGTACAAAAGAAACACAACAGTGAAGACAAAGCGAGACAAAATAAGAAATAAAACAATTAGACAAATGTTAAAACGAGTACCAATAATGAATAAAATAATAGAGGCAAGCTTACTGAAATATTGTACAAACAACCAAAAAAAAAGTATAAGAGTATTCATTAAAATTTAATATACATCGTTTACGAGTGCATTACTTTAAAAAAATAAAAAAATAATAATCTGTAACTACCTCTGCTTGATTCCTCCGCCGCTCCAGTTCTTGAACTTTCTTCGCCAATTCATCGTTTTCGCTTTGCAGCACTTCCTTTTCCGTTTGCACTTGCTCGTACGTTTCCGCCAAAATATCTCTATTATTCTCTATCTCTTTTATCTTCATGTTAAGCTGACTGTTCTCGTCCCTAAGGGCCTCCATCTTCGTCATGACCTCCTTCCTCTCCATGTTGAACATGTCGATTTTCTGTAGAAGTTCAGTGGAATCTTCACTCAGTTGAAGGACACTCTCGTTAAGTTCAGTTGGCGGTTCGATGTGATCGTCCTCGGGGCATTTTATCGGTTCGCCCTCAACGTGTACATCCAGAGTTTTCTGATAGGCTGCTAGTTCCAATTTCTCTTGTTGAGTTAGTCCCTCGACGATTTCGATGCTTTCAGCGGAAGACACCTTTTCTGCACTAAGCTTCTCCAGTTTGTCGATCAGCTCCATGTTTTCCTGCAAGCAAATTGAATAAAATTGTGCATAAACTGGCCAATAAAACCTGTTTTTTATTCTTTTACCTGAATATAGTTGTCTAACTTTGAACTAATTTCCTGTTTTTCTTTCTTTAATTCTTCCACATGTTCCGCCATTTCTTCTTTTGCCCTTAGTAATCCTTCTATTTCTTCCTTTAGTTTCAAGTTTTCACCTTCTAGTTTTTCGAGCTGTTCTTCTAACTGAATAGACTTAATTTCTGAGGACACTTGTATGTTTTCTAAATGCGACAAGCCAGATATTTTCTCATTTAAGGATGTTACTTCTTCTTTTAGAGAAATTATCTCTACAAAGGAAATATTAACAGATGCCGGTATTCGCGTTAAGTTGTACAACTTACCTGTCTCCAATAATGATATAATTTTATTCTTCTCCTCTAATTCTTCTGAATATTTTATTGCTTTCATTTCTAATTCCCTTTGTTCTTCTAGATACGAAGAATCTAAAATTAAAAAACATTTGTTAAAGCACGTTAAATAATATTAATAAAACACTGTATTTTGGATTAAATTAAAACTGACTCACCTTTTATGGATTCGGAGGATTCCACCATCTTCAACTGCATATTACCCTTCTCCTCTTCAAGTTCTGCAATTTTTTCACTTAGTTTAGTGTTTTCATTCTGCAATTGTACAATTAATGCATTGGCATCGTTGGCTTTCTTAATCTGGTCCAGTTTTTTATTCAATTCTTTAATTTTACTCTTACTCTGTGCTTTAGCTTTAATCATATTCTTATTGTTTTCCTCCAACTGTTTTCGCAATTTAGCGATTTCTTCATTGTTACTTTGCTCCGTACTGACGGACTGCCCAATATTTTTAAGTCTGTTAAGGTCATCCATGCTATCTTGAAGGCTTTTCTCTAATTCTGTTATTTTAGATAGACGCGATTCGTTTTCAGCAACAGTTTGATTTAACTGTTTCTGCAAATCACTAATAGTAGTTTTGTAATCTTCGGTTTTATTTTCACTATCGGTTTCTTTATTTTTAAATTCTTCAATACTTCTAGTATACTCCATCTTCTCTTCTGACAGTCTTTGATTAATTTCATGAAGTTCTGCGATTTCAAAGTTTTTAGCTTTTAAATCGTTCAATAATTTCACTTGTCTGGCTTTCATTTCACTCTCTAAAGTTACGAAATTCTCTTGCATTTTCCTCATTTGCTCTTTTGTGTCATCTAAGGCATCCAATGTGCTTTTCCCCTTTTTACTTAAACTGTCAGTCATTAGTGTTATTGCTTTAGTTCGGGCGTCGATTACGGAATCTTTTTCTTTCAAATTTTCTTCTAAATCCAGAATAGTGACTTCTTGTTTCTGAACTTTATTTAACAAATCAGTTATTTTTCTTTCCTTGGTCAGTAATATATTATACAATTCTTCTTGTGAACTGTTTTTGCTGTATTCTTTGGATTCTACTATAGAAAGACTTGCCGGAATTAACTGCTGTGAATCATTCAGTTGTGCTTTTAGTTGAATAACCATTTCTTCTATGCCTTTCTGACTTTTTCCTCTTTCAGCTAACCTAACTCTATAAAATTAAATGTTAATAGCAGGAGAAAGCAAAAACATGGGAAAAAATAGTTAAATATTTTTGCAAAAATTTTCTTTTTAACAATAATTTCAGAAATATTCTTGTATTACTTACTTATTTTCTTCTAACTGCTGCTTAAGTAAATTTAACTTCTGCTTTTTAGTAACGTCTATGCTGCTGCTACTACTACTACTAACAGTTTTTTCTAAAGTTCCAGATTCATCTTTCCTAGTCCTGTTCTTCTTTGCTTTTGCTTTACTCAATGTGTTAATATATTCCTCGACTTTTTCTTGTGTTACATTGCTTTGCTCTTTTCGTAACATTTCCTTTAGTTGAGCTATTAGGAGTTGTTGCTGCTGGTTTTGATCTTTTAAATCCGATAGTTCTTGTAAAGGCTTCCCAGAAGATGCCCCTTCTTGGGTGTCACCCCCAGGATCTGGTTCAGGATCTTTCCACATTGTAATTAAGTATGTTACCTTTAAGAATAAAAGCAATGAAATTAAAGCATTAATGGGGATTGAATTTTGTAAATGTTATTACTTACCTAATTTTGAAAAGGAATTTGATTACGTTTATGTATAATTATGTTTATTTTATTATTGTAAGTATGACAGCATATTCCACGTACACCATTTTGGTTAAGAAATTTTACTCTATGGTTATTGAAGTGGTTTAAAAGAAAGAAAGAACAGCACTGAGCATAGAAAACATTGTGGAAGCCTAAGAACACAAAACATATCCTGAGAAGAGGTAGTAGTCTCCATGGGCAGAACCAGGCAGAAATTAAACATCTAGATTACGCAGTGTGTCAAATTACTATTAGAGATGGGCTAAACTGCTCTTTTTGCGGAGCAGTGACACCTGCTACTGCTCCGGCAACAGAGCAGTGACAAATAGCTGCGATTTTTCGGAACAGCTCTTGGTAGCGCGCGCATACATTCCTACCGTGATATGTTCCCTTATTTTCGCGTCAAAGTTCATAAATCGACACTTGTCGTGCTTAATAGCGGCTAGCGTTAGGGAATAGGGATACTTTCGTCATGCGCTGTTTTTCAAGCATGTGCCAACTTTCGTAGATTTAGCTCAATTTGTTATTTCGCTTTTGCATTATTTATTTGAATTTGATATAGCGTTATCTGTTATTTTGTCCTAAGTTACTACTGATAAATTTTTATTACAAATAAAATTGGACATGGATAAACGAAGAAAATCTTTCCTGTGGAATTTATTTTTACCAACGCATGAAAGTAAAGCTTGTTGTAATATATGCAAGCAAAATATTTGTTATAAATCTTCAATCACCAATTTAAAAAGACACATAGAACAACGACATCCTACAGTGAGTACAGTGCCAGATATTCAAAATTTTTCCGCGAGTGCAACAAAAACAAATGAAGAACAGTCGCATGTTTTTTGCTTAGTCTAAGTTTTAAGTGATTTTGTAAACAAAAACTTTTAAAATATTTGTAGAGCAGCAACCAGCAATACACGCCTTGCTCTAGTCGCTGAAATACAATGTCTTTAAATCAAACGCGACTGTATTATATGTTTAGTGTGTGACACTGTGACTAATTCTGCTACTGTGCCGGCTGAGCGAGAATCTGCTCTGCTGTGGCCGGCACGTCTGAGCTATGTCTCTGGCTCTAGTAAACTGCACTTTGCAGTAAACGCTCCGAAAAATCACTGCTTCTTTTGTCGCAGCGGAACAGTCAGCTCCAGTGACAACTGCGGAACGGTGCCAAAGTAGCAGACAATAAAAGAGCAACACATCTCTAATTACTATTACTTGCCTAAAAATTGACAGATTAGCTACTTTCTTTCAGGTGCCTTTTTCGGATCTAAACGCGTTATGATCCCAAATTCATGTTCGTAGTTGTTTTCTTGTCTCCGGATCATGTCGGATTATAAAATCAGGATCGGTAATCCCCTGTCCCCTACAAATCAAACTTTTTATGTGATTCGAACTTTTGATCACGATTACATATTTAATATAACCTTAAAATTCTGGTAGTGTCTGTTTTCTCGAAGAAGGCAGTTACTATTTTTATTTTAATTGTGCTCAGAAGAATACATATAATTAAACGATATTTAAAATCAAATCAAATGTCAATAGTAAACAAAATCCTGTTTTCTTCGAAATTGGATAATTCGTGTTTGTCTGATTCAGTGATGATGATTCAAAGCTGAGAGGAAAAGAAAACAGCTATTAACTAATATCAGTTCAGAGTAGCTCTAAGTTGCTATTAGCTACTAATAGCTACTATTTTTTCCAAATCGAAAGGCCCTCAGAATGGGTCAGTGGCTGTTGTATTTGCACATTTAACAGTTGGTGGAATTGGAATTTAAAATTTTAAACAGAAAGTAATTTAAATTTAAATGAAATGCATTAGTTTTTTTTTATAATTTGTGGTTTATTTTTATAAATAAAAAACCCTAACTAATTGTGGCTATTTCTAATTTCGACCGATTAGACATTGACGCTTGGTGGATAAAATCGATTGTAATTTAAATTCATAATCACTATTTAACACTTTTATCTTAGACTTATTTACAAATATTCGTGAACTCTAACCTTACTCTAAAAGATGTATATTTTATCTTCTTTATTCTTATCAATAAGTTTCAATATTCAAAAAGTGTAAATTAGAAGTACTAAACTATAGTATAACTTGGTATAATGTCAGGCAAAGAAGCACAAAATGATCAACATCTTAAAGATGGAATTATTGATTTCACAGCTGGATCTTTGGGTTGGTAAATTTCTCTTAAATAAATAATAAGACACTATTTTTATATATTTTTTTAGGAGGAGTAGCATTAGTTTATGTAGGTCAACCACTTGACACTGTAAAAGTAAAAATGCAAACATTTCCGCATTTATATACAAATATGGTAAATTGTTTCATGAAGACATTAAAAAATGACGGTGTTTATAGGGGTTTATATGCTGGCACAGTACCAGCTCTTGCGACAAATGTAGCAGAAAATTCAGTATTATTTCTGTGTTATGGATTTTGTCAAAAAATAATGCAAAGGGTTACTCGTGTGGACAGTACCGAAAATTTAAGTATTTTGAGTAATGCAACGGCAGGATTTTTAGCATCATTTTTTTCATCTCTGGCAATTTGCCCCACAGAGTTGATAAAATGTAAACTTCAAGCCATGCATGAGACAAAAAAGCAGCATGAAGCGTTGGGGAAGAAGTTCGAAACAGTCGGTCCTTTTAAGTTAACGGCCCAAATTTTTAGGAATGAAGGTTTTGTAGGGTTATTTAGAGGCCTAGTTCCTACCCTAGTGAGAGAAATGCCGGGATATTTTTGTTTCTTTGGAGGATACGAAGGTTTGCATTAATTAATTTCATGTAATAATATTTTTTGTAGTGGAGTACGTAGGATTGTTACATAATAATTATAAATTGGTGTTGTTATATTACTATACATTCATACTTTAGATTATAATTTAAAAACATTCTGCAAATCTGCAAAAGAAAAAAAGAATTATATTAATTTCTGTTTTTATTGTTTTCTGTGACAAATTATTTTAGACGTTAAAAGTTCTGTAATTATTTTATACTATTTCAGGAACAAGGGAACTGTTGACCAGACCGGGCCAAAAAAAGGAAGACTTGGGGCTCTTCAAAACCATGTTAGCGGGAGCAGTAGGAGGTGCCGTATTTTGGACTGCTACATATCCCGCGGATGTGGCAAAGTCTCGTATACAAGTTAACAGCCTAGAAGAAAATATGTTTATAACTATTTTAAATATAACTAGACACGAGGGGATTGGAGCTTTATATAATGGGTTGGCTCCTACTTTATTAAGAACAATTCCAGCTACAGCTACACTATTTGTTACTTATGAATATTCCAAAAGATGGATGCACTATGTTTTTAAGGACAAATGACAATTTGTTATAGTTTTTATAATTGTTGTTGCATTTATTATAATAAATTATAGGGTATTCAATGAAAATTTGGGAAACTATTTAAAGTAAAACCGTCGAGTGAGGAATTCACTCAACGGTAAAACCCTACTTTACCAGGGAAAAAATATTAAAGAAGTAATATTTTTGCAGTAAATTAAATTAGCAATTTTTAGAGGAAATAAAAGGCATTAAAAAGCGGCCAATGTATTGAGTTTATCTAGTTAAGAAATTATTTAACAGAGACATGGTCACAGAATCTTATGCTTAGGATCAGGGGCAAGGTTATGCAACCCTTATGACGGCAAATAGACAAGTTTTGCAACGCAACCCGCAATACAGCTGTGTGTTGCGTGTTAATATATGAATGAATTGTTGCTGCAAAACCGCGTGCCTTCTAATCAGGAACTTGATTCTAGTTCGTGCAGTCACGACTGTACTAGGTTTTAGATTTATTATTTATAAAATTATAACAATTTGTTCTGAATAAAGATACAACGACGATTCAAGTAGGTATGTGGCAAATACATTAAGAACTTATTACTTACCTACATCTCTCAACGAAATCGAGGAATCGTACAAATCAAACTGTATTTATTACTTCTTTATACGGAAATAACCGTGTATGTTGTACTGCCCTTAAATGTTTTCTCTACATACAGCAGGAAGGGAAGCATATTAAATTTTCATTTATTTAAAAAAAATACCAATGATATTTAAAATTTATCAGGGAAGAGTAGCCGTTTATAGGCATATTAATAATAATAATCACAAGAAATGCACATCCAGTGAACACCATCTTATTACTTATCCCCCACTAGTAAAATTTTTACATTTCGTGAATTTTGTGATGAATTAATTCATGAAGTAGCACCAAATCTGTTCTCAAATAACTTCACTAATTCTTCCTGAAAAAATTCTTCACGAGTTCAGGTCAAAACTCAGAAGTACCAGCTTACTACAAATAAACAGAAAGATTAATTTTTTTCCCCGTTTTATTTTTCTCTCGTACGGAATTTTTATTGGTTTTTATTTGGAAACAATACTAATAAATAATGCTGTATTCGTCGTTTAAACCGTTAAAATTGTTAAAGTTAGATGATCACAATATTATAATTAGTCGCAAAAGAGGCGTTTTGGAGAGCTCGATGCTCCTGACAAAGCGACCGTCAATTACCTTCACAGGATGCTCAAAATTTCAACCCAGAAACAAATTTTTCCGCAAAAACGCCTGGAACTGCGTGAAATTCAAGCTGAAATACTTTATCTTACATAAACTAGAATAACAACCAGATTTCATGTCGTGGAAGCCAACAGCTAAAAATTACCCGAATTTGAAGAGGCCATACGTTAGAATCCATATCGAACAGCAATTCTCTAGAATTCGCGGAGCCATCCCTACAGGTGATCGAACGTCGACTCTGTTGTCTGGCAGTTCATTAACCAGTGCGGAAGTTTCTAACCAGTGTGAATACACGACCCGAATTCAAGAGTAATCGTTGCTTTTTAATAGTTCCAATCCCTTATTTAAAGGGAAATCAATTTCAAGGCTATACTGAGGGTTTCACATGACAGTGGCAAAAAACCTGAAAAGCCAAAATCAGTTTTTATGAATTCATTGATCAAATTCTAATTTGACCTAAATGGTTGCATTCTATAGCACCTTATTACTTGTGACATATATATTCTTATACCTATACAATTTTTTGCAAATCAGAACATTGTTAAAAAATTTGTTGCGAGCATGCGTCTTGAGACCTAGAAATCTGGTATTCAATCCACTTAGAAGTTTTCCTGCATTTGACCGTTTAAAACTTTTATAAAACCAATATCTTTATGAATAAATTGATTAATTTATGAAGAACTTAGAGAATTTATTGTACTCAATCTGCGAGATATAACTTATACGTCTTGAACGTATTCCCAATTTTTAAATCCTACTGAAAAAATATGATTTATCATTCTAAATGACTCAGATTTTAATACTAACACCAGTAGTACAAAAAAACAACTGATGGGAAAATCTCTTCAGATACTTTAAACAATGTTTTGTAGTTCTGTAGAAGGGTTAATATAAGAACTCACCTATTCCTTTATTATAAAACCTATAGATTTGGGAGTTTAACAAAGACGACCAAAATTTGTCAAAAATAAATAGGTATTAAAGAAGATAGACTATGAACCTAAATATCAACCAATCATCAATTAACTTCTTAAGGATTGACCAAAATTTAGCCCATATAATTTAAATAACCTCATGTTACGTCTACACCCTTATTAAATTTCCATTGTAATAGAAAGTTATTAATGAGCCTTCAATTGAATGACATGGCTACATTGTTTCTGCATTATATTCGCCGCCACCCAGCTCGGCGATGAAACTAATGGATGTTTTTCTATCATTAATAATTTCAGAAGTGGGATATAGTTTCAACTGTCTTTTGAAAAGTTTAAGCTTACGTTAGTAACAATTGTTAATGATTTTGACCTCTGGCGCGACAATGGAATTTTTTGTCTAAGAATTTTAAACAACATATATCTACTTTTTTGAGCGTTGACGTAATTGCTAAATTTCTCCCTGTTTTATTAATTTCACTTTAGATCTCTGTGAAACAAAAACGCATATCTGATATACCTGCTGTTTTTTTATTAATTACATTTAGACAGCATATTTAGTGTTTATTTTTGGATAATTATTTATTACTAGCTGTTTTACTAGGTATTGTGCCTGTAATTCAATGCTAGTGTAGGTCATAAAGTAGTTATTTCCCACAATATCAGCAGTTAGAAGTATTATCTGTGGGGTTAGATATCTTTAGGATATCTGACATCAAAGAACAATGTTTGACTTCATTTGATAAGTTTTTTAGAAAAAAAAAATTGAATTTGTTTGAAATATCTTTAAATTAGAGTAAAAAATACGAGAGCTAAGAATAGAATAATAAATATATTTAAACTTAATTAATTAATCGAGATTAATTTTTTTCATAACAACCCAAAAATGAACTTTATGAAATTTAATTTGGTGGGAGTTATTTTGGTCAATTAATTTTTGCCATTTGATTAATTACGTGTATAAGATGAATTCTGTATCCGAATGTAAAGCAGATTTATTTTTTTTTAAATTAAACCTGAAATACTTGATAAAAGGAACTTAAATATGTTTTCTCTAACTGAATCGGGAGTAGAGTTGTTCTGGAATTCCGATATATTTAAAAATAAGTAATTGAAAGTTAGGTAACTACTAAAAATGTATCACGATATTTTTAAAAAGCAAAATTATCAGAACAAAAGCTCGTGTGAATGACTGCATTTTCAAAATAAAGCGTGATAAATTTCTTTTAGGTCAAGCAGTGGCAAATATGCTGAAGAAGAAAACCTCAGAATTTAGACGCCACTGAGTATTTTCGAAATGCGATTAACAATTTAATTTCGTCAGTTTGCTATAGAATTAATTAATTTTGCTGATGACGTTGAAATTTCTCATGTTGTTTGTGTTGACCCAGTTAATAGTTAAATAATAAGTCATGTGCTCGTATGGATTGGCGATAATGCCTAAAATCGCAATAAACTAATGGCATTATATCACTTGATTACGATAGCCTCAAATTTTTAGGTAAACAGAAGAGAGTGATAAACTCTATCGTGCTAATTAGATATTAATTTGGTGGGTACCAACATATCTTCTAAATCAGTTGATGTATAAATTTGATATTGCTATGATAACTCATATTTGTATAAAGTTAAAAAAATTAGTCCCTAAAACCTACAATTTCATAGCTATCTTGATAAAGAAATTGGCCATTTTTTTTTTGTCTCAGCATAATATTACTATAATTAAAAAACATCCCATAGAATAATAATATCAGTTACACCTGGTGTTTCATTAATAATTTATTAATATGCATAAAAACCATTTAGAATTATTATTCCTTTTTCCACACTTTAATTTGGAAATTTAAATTTTATTAAAACATTTTCGATTGTAATTTAATAATTCGATTTGAATGTTTCAACGAAATATGGAAAAATTGACTTTAACGTAGATATTTCCACTCTAATTTTAATATTTTGATTTTAATGTGGAATTGTGGTTATTTATTATCGATATCTTTCCTAATATATTAAATAAATATTTGGGACAATATTCCAGTGAGCAAAAAAATCAAAGGAATTTGTAATAAATCTCTAAAATAGGAAATAGACTTCAATATATCTTATAAAAATAGAAAGGAAATTCAATTTGGCAGCATCTGTACCAAATTTAAATTAGGACTCTATAAAAAAGTTAGTGGTCTAAAACTTGAAAATCCATAATTACAATTAATATTTTTGTTTGAAATATATTACGTAAATAATGGATATGATAGGATTTTTCATGCGTGAAAGATTACCTACTGGTTATATTGTTATCATATTTATAATCTTGCAGATATTTGATATTTTCGAGAACATTGCAAACGTCAATTAAAACGCGAAATGGAACAAGAAATATATAAATACTAGGTGATTCAGTTTGATATTCGCGGCCTCGTATCTTTTTTTATTTTAAATAGCTTCTAAAAGCTTTAACAAACCCTATGGTATTTTTAAATCGCCGCTCAAACTCCATGGTAACATATGTCAAAATTGCTATAGTCCACTGTTTTTGTTGAAATGGCACATTATATATATATTTTTTCAATTCTGGAAGATATTTTTTTCTGCATTCAGCTATATAAGGAAGTCTATAGTTTCGTTAGAAATATTGCTAGAAAAACAGCAAAAAAGATTAACCCTACTTACAGTAGCTTTATTCTGAAAAATAATAGCCAGCTGCGGAAATAACTGAACTTTGACGTTTCCGAATAACGGTTTGTCAAAATAATGGACATTTTGTACCTACCTATTCTATCTAGAACTATCACATGAATGCTTACAGTAACCAAGAAAAACTAGATATGGTAAATTAAAAAATTTATGGAGAGGACCGAAAGAACGCTAAAGCTGCCAGGTATTTATCTTGTTTGCTGCTTTTAACTTCCATCAGATAAAATTTTCGGAAAATTAGCCGGGAATTGGCGACAGATGGGAGTTTTCAAAAGAAAAGAAGAGTTTTTAAACCCAGAAGGGCAAGAGATGAAGAACATTCGATAAAAATGTTAAATGGCCTGCTAGATCTCCGGATCTCCCTTCTATAGATTTCTTTCTTTGGCCTTACATAAATGATATTGACGACCTTAAAAACGGAATAAGAGTAGAATGTCGGAGATTAAATGAAGAACTACTAGAATGTGTTTGTAGAGAGGGAGTAATAAACAGAGCTATTCTGTGTTTGGAAGCAAATGGAGGTCATTTTAAACATTGTTTTAAATTGTTATCTTACTATCGTATTAAAAATAAAATATGTTACTTTAAAAAACATGGTAACATTGTTTCCGCAGCTGGCTATCATTTTTCAGAATAAAGCTATGAAAAGTAGGGTTAATCTTTTTTGCTGCTTTTCTGGCAACGTTTCTAATGGAACTATAGACTTCCTTACATACATACATACATACTTAACGCAGAAAAAAATATCATCCAAAATTGATAAAAAAAATATATAGTGTGCCATTTGAACAAAAACAGTTGACTATAGCAATTTTGACATATGAAGACCATCTAAAAATGTCATTTGATAGAGTTTGAGGGACGACCTAAAATACCTATGTAGGGTTTATTATAGCTATTTGTTAAAATAAAAGAGATACAGCGCTGCGAATACCAAACTGAATCACCCGGTATACCGAGTGTTCCATTAAAAATTGAAGTTATGTGATAGGTATTCAGACGAAATGGGACGCCCCTTACAATAGAAAATAATTTTAAATGTAAAGAAACTGATTTGGAACAACTTCTAGACACATTTTTGGATTATTAATATTACCAGAATTGTACCATAAAGAATATGATTTTAAAGATGAAATTTTGAAATTGAGCTGCAGTTTTGAGTGTAAAAAGTAAATTTGAAATTTCTTGATAAAAAGTAAAAGTGTGGATAATTTTCTGGAACTATACTGGAAATTTAAAGTGATATTTCTAAATTGTAGCAGAAATTTCGAGACTTCAGTTGAGTTTTCTCGATAAAAGTCGAAATTTCCTACTCGAAAACTCCAAATATAACGATCTATTCTGATTTTCCAACACGCGAAGGCAACGTGCTAGTAAGTTCTAGTAAAAAAGCTGCAAGCTTCCACCTAGAACCCACGTACGGATCAAAATAGGATACGACAAAGAAAGGTACACTCGTCGCACACGGATTGCTTTCACAATTCAAGGATATAGTTAGTCCAGGGGACGTTGTCCGCACCTCACCAGAGACACGAGTGCGTGAGAATGCCCAAGAAAAAGCATAACTGTACAGACGAACAGCGAGCGCGAGGCACGTGAAATTTATAATTACCACAACAAATTCAGCGGCTAATTAGGAATGTATCCAAGGCGAATACGCTAACGTCAACGTTATTGTGCTTTAAGCGAGCGACGAGTGAACGAAATGTATCATGACCGTCCGTCGAATTACGAATCGATAAAACCTTATCAGATTTTTTCTCGCTCACTGCGAGCTTGTTTTTCCAACTCGTTCTAATCTCTTATCTAGCTATCGAGCCGCCCATCTGATTCGCGGACGGAGTGAAGTGTATATATTGTCGTATAGACTGTCGATCACAAAAAAATGTAAACAGTGGTCCGTTGGCACTGTTGTGAAGTGATTTGGTTTGCGGACGGTTCGTTCGAATTAAGTTGTCATCATGGAGACTACTGGTACTCCCCCGGATGGCGGATGGGGATGGATGGTGGTGCTGGGGGCAGCCCTGATAAACGTAAGACTTTTTTGTTCGCGCTTTTGCGTTGCATTTTAGAGCAAATAACACTTTTCCACCCTCCACGAAAAAAAAGGACACCAGGACAAAATTTTGATACCTGCTACTTGTAAATTTAATGTTTTAATCGACACTTAAGGTTTTATTGAAACTTTTTGTTATAAATTATTTGTTGAAAACCATTATGGTGTTTTTAAAAGTGTCAAACTAAAATAGGAGATAGGATTTAAAGCAAAAAGTCTTCTATGGACATGGTTTGGAAATCGTTTATTAGTTACCGGAGTGATATATACAGGGTGTTCCTAAATAAGTGTCGCAACGGAAAACTGTAAATTTCTCTTGAAAAGAGAAACATTCTTTTTCTCTTCCATTTTCTCTCCAGGCTTTCGTTTTCGAGATACCCAGTGTCAAAACTTTTTTTCAGATTTTTGCCAATATCTTAGAAACCGTTTGAACTACAAGACTGAGCTTTTGTACACACATTACCACTATTAACAGCTACTTGTTGCAAATGCTGTTAAATTTCGTTAAAATTTTTAATTATTACTACCCATCTTTAAATTACAAAAGATTTTCGAAACGTTAGCAAAATATTTGGTTTTGTTCATAAAAAGTCATTTTTCTTGAAAACGATTGACTTTAGAGCGATGAACCAAGAGAACTATTTTTGTGTAAAATTCATTGGCGCTTCAGAATTTGATGTCAAATGTTAATTTTTCCAGTGGCGTAAAAGTTAGGGGGGGAAAATCCTTACGATACTTTGAAATCTCCACCACTGGCACGTTCAATGAATTCAGAAAGGGTGCGAAAAAGTAGCTATTAATAGTGGTAATACGTGTACAAAAACTCAGTCCTGTAGTTCAAACGGTTCCTAAGATATTGGCAAAAAATTTAAAAAAAATTGAAGTTTTGACACCGTGTATCTCGAAAACGAAAGCCCGGAGAGAAAAATGGAAGAGGAAAGGAATGTTTCTTTTTTCAAGAGGAATTTACAGTTTTCCGTTGCGACACTTATTTAGGAACACCCTGTTTATGAATAACCAACATATTTTTTAAGTATAATAACTCCAAAAAGATTGCTCAGATTTAAATGAAACTTGAATGCAACTGTAACTGACATTTTTCGTTTCTGTAGAAATATACCGACTCAGTACTAGATCATTAACTCTGTTGTTTTTTCTGTTTAACACCAAATTTATAAAATTAAATTATCAAAATTATGAGATGTATTACAATTTTGTATGGCATACAACAGTTACATTCAATATGTCTGGTTTTTAGTGTAAAAACCGCCTAATGACATGACAATTTTGGAGAAGTAGAATAATTCTACGGTGTTCTGTTTTTGATTTCGTGGCACCACAAAATTTTATTTTGCATATTTGAAGATATTATCGGCGCCTAGGAAAATAAGATATTTTATGTTCAAATTTGATACACTATAATCGAGGGGCGTAGAATAATCCTGCAGTCTTATATTTTCGATAAAAAAATGTCTAACACGTTTTTCTGAAAAATGAACTAATAGATATGAAAAATCATAGCACGCCAGTCGCTCGTGGCATCAAATAGTTGCAAAATTTAAAACCGCTTTTAACAATATAATTAATCTTATGCTTTGCCAGAATTATAAAATTAAGCTAACAATAACGAGATAGAACATGTTAAACGATTGAAAAAAGGTACTTTTATTCAATACTGAAAATGTTCAGAGAAAATTGGTAATATGTACATATTTTTATGGACTTTGATAATAAATATTTCAAAAATCAAAAAGGCATTCGAATTTTATTGATTTATTGTCCAATTTAAAAAAGATAAGATGTTACCTAGTAAGAATATTGGTGGTGGAATTCTTTAATGCTGTATTTAAAGCATGTGGAAATTAAAGAACTGACGAAAAAATCCATACACTATAATTTTAACATTAATATTTTTATCCTCGTTTTTATCATTTATTTTCTCCTTATTTTAATTGCTGTAATGATTCAACAAAGTTTTAAAAGAAATCAAGGCACTTTTGATATTCGAAATCCGTGTCATCAAAATACATAAAAATGTTTATTGCGAATTTCTTTGGGACAGTAAAGATTATCGATGTTTGCGTTTTAAGATTCTCTTTTACCAAGAATGTTATGGACAATTTTTGACAAATAAAAAACCCTTAATTACCACTAAATTTCTGTCACTGTGAATGCGAAATTAACTATTCTTCTTTTAGATTACCACAATTGATAATTTAAAGACGTTTAGCGAGTTTTATTTGGATCTGATGAGTTGCTTCGGAATTACTTAAAAAAATTTCTGTTTCCGGACCCCTGTTCGTGGTAACTTTTTGCTTAAAAATTCAAATTTTACAACAATCCTGTAAACATTTTAGGTTTCTGAAGAATTCAAATTGCAAGAAATAATAATTATTTTTACTATAACAAAATATGGGCTATCCATGTGACAAATGATAAATTGTAAGGACAAACTAATCGTGCGATTAGATTGTGAATATAGTACACGTTATTTACTAATCTAATTGCTATTAGTAGGTACCCAAATTGCAACTTGTACCTTTAATAGTGGTATACTCGTCTACGTAAATAAATTACGAAGCTATTTATCTTCGTAGTAAATCTACATAAATAATTCGTAGTTTTGTTACAATGTTTAGTTAGATAATTTATAATTTTAAATTTGAGATATGAAAAGTAATGAAAATCTATCAAACTCCACATGATAATAAGATATATGAGTGGAAAGTTTTTGCTAGTGTGTATCATCTACCTACTTATTTCGTTGAGATTGGCCTCATGGAAAGATAATAAATGTATACTAATCAAAATCAATCATATTACATTAGTTAAATAGTTCGCAGATCAATAAAATCTATTTGTACAATTTAGTTCGTTTTTATTATCACTTAAATGTAATTTTGCAGAGAGATCGATTTTCTTGAAATATTAAGTAATATTGTAATATTATACTATAACAAAATTACGTAAAAATGATAGAGTTGAAGTTCTACTGTCTTTTTATTGTTTAACCATGAGCCAGCGAGTATGACTTTATTTATAGAAGAATAATTTATATTTCTGGTTTTGGCAAATATATTTAAAGAACTTCTTTATTAGCTTAGCTAATTATCACCGAACACATTTTCAGCTGTAGCACCTAATGAGTTTTAATTTCAGTAGCAGTTAGTAGAATCGTTCTGCGTCTTAAATTTTTGAGAAACTAAATCAGCGCTGACTAAGATAAGCGGACTCCCTAGACCTGAAGTTTTTGCCAGTTGACTAGCCTGTTTCACCTTTGTCCTTTTGAATATATGCCAATTGGCTTCCTTGAAAACAAACGAGACATGAAAACGAGGGCTAAGTGCCAAATGTCTAAAAATATTTTTTTCCAGTCAAGGTGATATTTTTTAATAATATGTTTTTTACTTTATCTTAAAGGCATTTAATCTATTTCGAATATATTCAATATTTTTTCTAAAAATCTTATCCAATGAATTCAAACGATAAATACCAGAAATCTAGCTATGCAAAAGATGTATACTCTCATAAACAGCAACAAGTGTAACAGCCGTTGAGACATGTAGGCAGTAGAGTAGTTGTTTCGCGATATCATGGCGCACCACATGGATTTTGGGTGTCGAAGAACAGTATTTGCCTTCATTTCAAGCAGATTTTTAGAAGAATTTTGGAGTTTATTTGAATTGGCTTAAAAAACTTTTTACTGATTTGGATTCTTTGTCTTACTTTTATTAAAACATTTAATTATAAATTAAACAAATGAGTGAGTAATGGACGTAAAGGAAAATATATAAGTTTTCCTTTGTATTGAGGCTACAGGGGACAAATAACAAAATGTGTTTATTTTATAAATTTAATTTATAATCCACGCAGATAACACCATGCAAACTGATAAATTAAATAAAAATATATACGCTCATACTAAACCAGAAGGAATTATAAATCATATAGTTTAAACTGAAGTCTCAATAACAAAAGTTTATCATAAATTACTATAAACAAAACAATAAATTATCAGACAAACAAAACAAAATTTACATCCAAAAATTCAGTAGTACATTATTTAAAATTTAAGATATAATATGTAGAATGTGTTTTGGGAAATCGGTAAATTAATTTGAAAGACAAAAGTCTTCTTCCATTTCATTCGAGTTATTATTTTTTTAGTCTATTTGTTAAATAAATAAAATAATCTCTGTTTCACAAAAAATATGCGTATGAATTTTTTATAACAAATATAATTTTAAATAGAATGTAACCATTAGAAAAATTCAGTGGCGTAGAAATTTACCCCTTACCACTTCATCCATATTTTTTATTTTTAATGATACATTTTATTTTTAATGATACATTTTATTTTTAATGATATATTTAATGTATTTAAAATTGGTATTCAACAAATTGTGAAATGAACAGCTCGAGCAGAGTTATTTTTTTTATTATTCAATTATGTAGTAATTTTAAGTTTATTTCCCATTTATTGTTACGAATAAAATTTAAAGAATAAATTTACAAAATATTCAGCGAAGTCGAAGTTCTGGCGTTCTTAATCAAGATATCTTTCACAATATCTTCGCCAATGATTGATATACATAGGCTGTGTTGGTCAGATTGGGAATATTTGGCAACGAATTGTTTGACTGAAGAACACAGCCATAATTATACATAAATTCAGTTATTTTATTGTATTATGTAAAATATCTCCAAATATTTGCGTATTTATGATGTTTCTACGTGTATTTCATTTTAATTTTGTACTTTTTACTCTTAACATTTTCAGAAGATGCGTATTATGAAATCATCTGTTGCGTGACATTCTACTGTTTGTTAAAAATGTAATCAGCCTTTGAGTAAACTTATTAATGTTTCTGGTAGTCTGATTTGCCATTCGTCCAATTTAACAGAAGAATGTCTCTGAAACAGTGAACCGTGACTAACTCGATTAGTCTAGAGTTACTATAATTAAGCAGGTTGCAT